AAGCGCCTTCCGCGTTCAAGGTCAAAATCCGTCCTCGGGCCATGAAATCAGGGTCTTTTAACGGGCGTGTAGAAATTTGGCTGGGAAGGTTAGTGTGGAGGCTTTACCTCCTGTAATCCGCAGGTCTCGGCAGAAGGGCGGTTCCTTACTGCCGTGACTGGAGGAGGGCACGTTGCCTCGGCAGTTGCGTTTGTCCCTCGCCTGCGGGCTGCCGCTGCTGGGCCTCCTGCAAACCCCGAAAACCGCGGGACTGGAAGCTGCTGCACCTGAGGGACTTCACCTCTTCTCGTTAAGACTTCTTCCCTTCTATGAAGAAATAAAACTTACGGCCACAGCCTTCCCCCCCCCACCCCCACTCACTCTTCCTAGTAACATTAAATTCCATAATTGACAAGCTAGTAACTCGGTTCAACGCGTTTACAGTACCAGTGGTTGGTGTGTTGCCACTCATTCAGCTTGCTTCTCATCTTTTTGTGAGTTTTACTAATTTCCCTCTGGTAAGACTCCAGGCAAATCTCAGTTGATTTTTCTCGCGGTTATTTTTAACTTCCAAACAGAACACATAATTTGGTCTCTTGGCTTTTCTTCTTTTTTGAGGGGGAACGGACAGTTAGTTAAAAATGCATTTTTTTTCATTTTGTGACTAAGCTCGTTTCCACTTAGAGGAGCTGCCTTGCTGTTTGTTTTAATGTGTGTGTCTACTTAGCTTTTAAAAGGAGAAGCTTCAAATCTTCTCAGAGACTACACCCAAACTCCTCAGATTATCAATACCAACACACCTAGATTAATGGAGGTCTCGGATAAAACCCTATTCTCAGCTTTCTATGAAGCTTCAGGACGGCAGAAGGCCAATATATAATCATACTACATAAGAGTGTTATTTAGTTTGAGGGCTGCATCTCAAACTAAATTTGGAGTCTGTACATGTATTAGTAAAATCAGGATGCTATTTCCAAGCAGTTAGGCTCACTCTACAGCAGGATTTCAGCTGTTTGGCTCCAAGGTTCTCCCAAAGTCTCGGTAATTCATTGTTTTTTTATTTTTCACCTTTCACCAAGGAAGGTGCACTCTTCAAGTCTCGTGTTCAAAACTACTTTTTGACCTAGAAATACAAGTTGCACTGTTTTTTACCATACCTTGCCATTCCAATATGTAAACGTACAACTGTTTCAGGATTTTAACGTGATGTAAATATCAAATGAGCAAAGTAAGGATAATGAACAAATTAGAAGCACAGCGGTTTTTAGAAAGGCGGTTAGGCTGAAATATGCTTCTCTCCCATAAATTCAGTACTGACAGAGCGGGGATGAAAATGGCAACAACTGGACTCAGATTCTGTTACCACAATTTAGCAACTCGGTCAGGGCAGGGTGATGGTAGCCTGTGTCTGACATGATAATATATGCTAGCTTTACGCTCGTTGTCTTTCACTAACAGCTCAGAGTCAAGGATTTGTCGTGATCAGACCTTGAGTCTAAAGGCCAGTTGAGAAGAACAGATATGTTTGGTGGGTGGTGTTTATCAAGATTACCGTGCGTCTCCCTTGTCTATGGAAAGGGAGGATTCTTTTGTTTTGATTCAGGCAAACATCTTCCACTTCATCTGGGATGGATATTTTGTAAGTAAAATACAAGAATATTTTGGACGCTTTTTCATACACAGCAATGATAGAACAAATTGAGTGTTATGCTCAGTGAAGTATATCTAAGCATTCATAAAGCTCTCGGGCGCTTTAAGGCTACGCACTCCAGAATGGCTGTGCATCCTGCCCATCGCATTCAACGTCTGTGTCTGCGTGTGCTAGCCGTTTCCCTGGCCCTTTGTCTCTGTCTCCTCGATGATACTGCTGCTATGGTGAAAAATAGAGAGAAAGAACAACAGGATATTGTCCAGTTCTGGTCTGCGTGCCAACAGTGACAAAATGTTGTTTTCTCCTCCGTTTGGGGATTCTTGTTGACTTTTATTAGTCCTGGGCGAGCCTGAACACACGAAGATGTTTTTTAAATTCTTCCAGTTAGTGTGGAAACCTTGAGTCTCTGGGAGGAAGGTGGTGTCCCACGCCCTGGCGCAGACATTCCTGTCCTGGAGGATGATACTCTGACTCCTGCAGAGGAAAAGAAGAGTTCTGTTGTATAAAACACAACAGGAAGGCGTCCAGGGCTGCTGTGTGCCAGGAGGACACCTGCAGAGCTGCCGCAGGGGTGGAAGTGAGCCACAGGCTGTATGGATAGTGCTGAGAAAACTGCGCGGCTGCACAAATCCGACGCCAAACTAGGGCGCTGTTTTTGGTTTCCGTTCTGCTTTTCTGACACCTGTAGGTAAGCGTGAAGTGCACAGCGGACTTCTGCAGCACCTTACAGAGCGAAGGAACCGTCGCAGGGTATGGGATCACAGTGAAGCATTCTTGCTTAGCAGTCAGGATTAATTATAACCCAGGAATATGAACTGTAAACGCGCTGGAGTTGCCAAGACGGGAGCTGGCTGCGTGCCAGAGCTTGAATGAGGACGTACCATCCCGTCAGGACTCCCTGGGAGCAGCAGGTAACGCCCAGGTACGCACGGAGCCCCGCGGAGGTAGATGGCCAAATGCTGGGGGGTACAGCGGGGGGAGAGTGGGTGTTCAACTGTTATTTTGGGCTGGGGATGTTTCTCTATCTAATTTGATGCTCGCCTCAGTCAATCTGCCTTCAAAATAGGTTATTAGTGTACAGTGACACACTTTATGATTTTTAAGACAATCTTAGCTTTGATACAGTCTCCTTAACATGAAATAAACCCAAAAAATCTCCAGCTAATGTGAAGTGTAGGCAAAAGCTTCGGCTTCTGCGTGTTCTTATGGTTGTGTGGGCCGCTGTCCCCTCTTTGCTGCAGCCAAACAAGGCATCAGTGGTGATAAAGACCGTTGTGAGAGGATGAAGTGAGGTGAAAAATGATTATTGAGCCAGATAATGAGTTGTATTAAAACCACCCAGGATAAAATGGAATAATATATGACACATTCTGCAATAATGTATCATATAGGCCACCTAATGCTGAGGCAAACATAACAAATGCTTTGAAAGATAAATGGCAGAAATTTAAAAGATCTGCTTGAAGTGTGAGAAGGGATGAAGTGTAAGAAAATCACAAAGGTGAAAGAAACAGATGTGCTAATTACATCATTGTGGGACAACATAAGAAACGCCTGTGAAGGGGGAAGCTTGTGCTGTTTGGTTGTGAAGACTTCAGTGGGGGTTCAGAAAGGCCAAATTGATGAAGTTGTAACTTCTGTTGAGCTGTAAGCTTTAAAAAAAAAAACCAACCACCTTCTCTATCATTAACATGTTATAATACTGTTTTAATGATCTGGGGTATGAAAAAGTTGATATGAAAGGCTACTCTATAGTCTTGGGCTCGATTTGAAGGAAGATATTAAAAAAAAAAAAGTCAGTAACCATAAAAAGTTGGTTTTATTATCATAGCTTCAGGGCACTTACAGTCAGTGAGTTTCCTGGTCGTGTCCCCAGTTCAGGAGTGCCGTGTTAATAGTTTCATACATTCTGGGAAGCTCTAGGCTCTCTCTGATGAATGCTTTCTGTTGCTGATATACAAAGCTCTTTTTTTCTCTTTTAAGGGCTTTTTGGAGTTGTAGAATACTCTTTACTTTGAGCTTTTTTATGTCTAAGAAGCATAACTATATCAGACGTAAGAAGGAAACTTTCTTTTGCACCTGTTTGTAAATGATAAGCATTCAATCTGTTGTGCTTCAAAGCTATTTTCTTTCGAAATACTAAGTAGTTCATAAGCATTGGCTAGCTCTGCTTACAATCGGATCACAGACTGTTAAACAAGACCTGACTTAATTCTAGCATTGCTTTTATTACACTTCTGTGAAGAAACCAGAACTTACACTACTGTCTGCCTGGGAGTAAATGTGCAGAGCTCTTAACCCTGATTTCTGACATGAACATACTGATTTTAAATTGATGCTACTCTTCTGTCCAGGAACGTTTAAGAATTTTACAGTCTTGTTTTAGTTTTCTGAAATGTCTATTGCTCAATAACTGTTACAAGACTTTGATATATTTTGGTATAAGCTTAAATAATAATCTCCTTGCAGGTGTACTCATCAGATGCTTTCTGTGATCTTTACCAGCAAATCTGCACAAGCAATTTATTCCTAAACGCGCTTTAGGAACTGCATCTTGGTCCTCGAACTGCTTTAACTCCCAGAGGAATAATTACACTTAACAAGAACTTATTACCTACTGCAAAATATAATGACTGAATTCCTGGTTTGTTTTAACTGGTGCAATGGTGAACAGCCCCAGCCGGTAGGTAGATGCACAACCGCCACCCTTTATCAGATCTGAAATTTTGTCTTTCAGTTATGTGGAAAACACTTTCATTGTCGTGTTGTTTTGATTAGTTTGGGCTAAGTAATGCAACAGCTAAAAACAGACCTGTTAAACTATGTTTAAACTATGTGTGTTTTGCCGGAAACTTTGCCCATATGACTGTTTGCAGTTCTCAGGCCCTGACTTTTCAACGGTAAAGGAAGTTTTTGCTAAAATTCAGTTAGCAGTAATACAGTAATAAAAGTGACTTTAACCCTGTCTTACTGCAAACAGTCTGAAACTCCAGCCCGGTTGCCGTGAGGAGTCATTAGGGGTCAGTACTGACTGTCTTTTTTTTTTCTTTTTTTTTTAACTCAGCCGCTTGTTTCTGTCTCAAAGCTGCTCACGTTTTCTGAATAGAGACCTACAATATTCTCTTTCTTACAGAAGAGGCGTCGGAGACTGGACCGGAATATGATAGGAGAACCAATGAACTTTGTACACACTGCACATGTTGGGGCAAGAGAGATGAGTAGTGACTATTCCTCAGTAAGTGTGCACCTCTTTTGTAAGCAGAAATCTGCACCCAGTAACCTGTAGAGCAGGTAGCTAATAAAATCCTAGATGATTTTAAGAGAGAGAGAAATCTGACTTTTTTTTTTTTTCCCCCATCAATAGAATAGCGTCAGAACAGAACTGTCCTTTGGTTTGTAAACATAAGATACTGTGGGAGATATATTCCACAAGAAGTGCTTATTTCCCCAGTATCTTTACATATGATGAGAACCTTTTGGATAAGGATTCTGTGGATGCACTTGATACTAGGTCCAGATAACACATCACCCTGAAGTCAAAGCTGTGCCAGGGTGAGGGATGTAAGAATAAGTGGATTTTGGATAGCAAGACCCATCTCGTGCACTGACTTAAAATAGTATTTAACAATTCTGGGTTTAGTTGTTATTTCTCCCTACTACCATTGGGACCCAGCACTGTAAACATACGGCTCACTTGCCTCTTCAAACTGATGCTTTTAATAATTGCTCTGGCAACCAGACTTTATAAGATGCATGTTCTAATAAACTTTTCTTCTAGGCTGTATCAATTCAGGACCACATGAAGTCTAAAGGTGGCTACACAAATGGCACTTCTGCAACTGTCGAGATATAGGAAACCGAGAAGGCTGAAATCTGCTCTGTCTTAGGAGGACCCCCTGGACTGAGCTTCCACATTCTCAAAAACCTCTTTATCGTGGAGTAGGGAGAGTACTTGAATTATAAATAGGTCAGTGCAAGCTTTGGTGTTCTTTGCACAATAGCTTCTGAAGGAGTTACTGCAAATTATCCTTAAAATGGTCTGTCATAGTAGAGTTGTAGTAGCAGCTGTAATTTGTCGCCGTGGACGACTTCCTAGCTGTGTCCCAAAAACTCACAAAGTTGTCTTGTAGGATGGGATTGGAAGTCAGTATGAATTTTCTGGGGTTTTGGTCTCTGTCTCTTTCTCCTGTCAAGAAATGCAGAGGTTGATTTAATTGGAAGATATCACATGTTTGCACTTTTTACGTGGGCCAAACTGAATTGCTAAGTAGGATCTCGTAGCCTGTAATGTAACTTTAGACCTGGTTTTTAGATGGCTTACAACCTAATGCATAAATCTACTGAGCTGTACTTGGGTATTTTTTTAATGTCTTTTGGTGGTGAACGAACTCTAACGTAATATAGTTAGCCGAGTCTGCAAAACCCAGTGAAACTTCTGCGTTGCTGTGATAATGCTTTTGTAGCTAAAAATGGAGGTTTTGCAAACATACCCGCTCTCAAACGAGGCTTAGAAAAACAAGACATTTCTCTCAATTACTGGGCTGCCTCCCTTCCATACATGCAGTAGTGTGACTGACAGGTATTACTACAACAGAGCTAATAATATGTACCAGTTAACCTCGAGTGGTGCTACAATATGCTCACAACTGTGTGTAAATTTTGCATGGCTACTATTGAATTTTAACCTAAACATATCTAAGGTCACTCTCTCTGTTACCTATCATCTGTTACAGTAACTACATAGGACTTCAAGGGGTATCTCACTTGTCTTTCTGGCTCCTTAATTTCGAGAGGTGGTTTTTGTTTTGTTTTTTAGATAAACTAAATTTTTTCTTGCATGTGGTTTAAATAAGAAGTATGGTTTAAGTGATACAGCCATGTGAAGGACAGAAACTTAAAGAATATTGTGAAAACTTGCAGGAGAATATTAAATGGAAACGGTGTCTTGCAGAGTTCCAGCACTTCATAAATACGGATATTGAGCCATACCCAAACTACAGTTTATCACTTAGTTGTTATTAATTTTTCTATTAAGCGGCATGACAAAACTGCTGAAGTAGAGCTAGGTTTTTCTTTTACCCAATCACTGACAACTTTTCCCCAGCCTAAAATTCTGAATGACTACCGGTGCAGAAACTTAGGAAATCTGCTTGCTGTCATGGGATTAACTAAATACAAGTGTTAAAATTGCTGCCATATCAGCACCAGTTATGCTGGAAGTCAGTGGAACTCCCTCCTTCTTGCTCTAGGCGTAAGATCAGTTATGAATTTTTTTCTATTTAAAAACCCATCTAGCTGGCAAATCTTTTAACTTGTATGATTCTGTTTGTGGATTGTGATACTTCTTAAATCTAGGTTGCTGGCTTTGCCGAATTGTTAGGCTGTCTTTTCTGAATATACTAGGGAACTTAAAACATGAAAGGTAGCTCTGTGTTTCTGTATGCATTCAAAAAAAACCTCCCCCCCTTCCTATATTTCATCTTTAAGGGCCAAAGAGGAAGAGGGAATGTTACTTTCTGTAACAGTCAACAGCTGATCATAACATTCTGCAATGACATAAGAGAAATGTAATATCCATGACTTGCTAGATCCTCACTCTTGAATTAGAATACACGCCAAATTTTAATATATTTTAAAATTAGCGAGTTAGCTGTACATTTAGCTTTTTAAAGTCTTTCATATTTCTGTCTTCTAACTTCAGATTTATTCCAACAACCTAGTTAAGATACGGAGTTCAAAGAAGCTAAATCCTGTATACTGTTGAGGAAGCGTAAAGCGGCCAAGTTGTTTTAAAGAATAGATTCTAATTCGTCTGCTATTAAATTGAGTTCGTGCATTCATTGGTCCATACCTGCCCAGAAAAAATAGTGGTAGGGCAGCTGTCATGAAGAAAATGGGTTGTATTTTGTTAATGCTGTAAGAAAACAAATTGAACAGGAGTTAGTATTTCCTGAAGACCCATTCAGTATGTTTAAGATTAGTGGTGTATGCGTAACTAGAAATAAAGGAGTTGGTGATCATGTTAGTTCTTCTCTCTAAAAATAAATCAACAGAGAATTATGTTATTAAACCCTTATTTATAGAAAAATCCTAGTTTTCATTATGTAAGCAAAGTAGCACTGTCTGGTGTAAAACTAACCTATTTTCATCAGACTATATAGTATTATAGAGGACCATATTAAAGTGTCACATCATTAAAAAGAAACGTTTTGCTATTGTGTTATAGGTGCCATTACTTTTAAAATCTAAACAAATGTAAAAGCATGCTTTAGGACTTAGGTATTTTTTTGTTGTATATTTAGAAACTTTATCTAGCTGTAATCTGTCATGTAACTCAGTATAAATCTATCTTGGTTATAATAAATCTGTTGAACTAGGCATTTGCGCTCTTCTCGTATTGTGGAAAATCTTCATGTTTTCTCTACACTGAAAACCTGTTGGTTAAGTGGATGGATCACAATGGCTTGAACTTTCATTGCACGAAATCAAATTTCTCCACTAGAGAGCACAATTTTACATCGTCTTTTCTGTCTGCTTTATGCAAGCACTCCATTGTGGGTTTTTTTTGTTTGTTTGGTGGCTTTTGAGCTTGACTGGAATAAAATACAGCAAATAAGACCAAAGGATCAAACTCTTTAATCTACACCGTAGGCTGTGAAGACCTTGTGTCAATACAATGTGGCAATGAAACATTACTGCTCTGCCTTGATGGCTTTTTATGGTTTCTTTCTGTAGTCGGAAGTAAAATGACTTGCCAGCGGAGCAGAATCAAGTCTTTTATGTGTAGTCCAGCAATGCTGTATCTGTTTGCTTCCTTTTAAAAAAGAAAAAAAAAAAGTTGCGGGGGGAGTAACTGTTATTTTAAATACTGTCTGTCTTATCCCTTGATGTCCCTGCTAGGCTTTACCGACTGTCCCATAATGCTACATAAACCCGCAGTCAGTACATAGAAAAGGTATTTGGCTTTTTCACAACCTAGTATGTCTTTTTACCTCCTGTAGAGCAGCTTTATAACAATTACGTGGTGTCATGCTATGTTCCAAGTTAGCCTGTAATATGGTAACTTGCAACCCAGGCGTGCAGTGCTATTCCTTTGTATGTTCTTGCCGTATTGGACTATCAGGTGCTTCTGTAGCTTCCACTCTGTATAGACAAAAAATTTTTGAGAGATTAATAAATACCCTTTATCTTACTGTGCCAGCAAGAACAAGCACGATTTGACAATGCTAAATTCCATGGAGGTATGTTCATGAAATTCATTATATGTTACTAAATACAGTAACACTGGAAAAAAAAATATCAAATCTGTCAGTGGAAGATGATCACATGGCTGCTCTTGATTGTGTTTGGATTTACTTTGCTATCGGCACTGTGAGACTGCCATAAAAACCCAACAGCTGAAGGTAAGAACGATCTTGTCTGCCTCGCATAATCGCTGTGGAGATAGACGAGATGAACTACAGGAAGAAAACAGCGCTGTGTTACAGAGGTGTCAAAAAGATCTCCTCTGGTGAGTGGGCTCTGTAAGGCTTCCAGATACTTTGTGGTTCTGCAGACTCGGTTAGTCAAGAACCTCAGGCAGTTGTTTAAAGCACTGTGCTATGAAATCATTCAGACCAAGTTAGGCACTCCGGGAATAGGAGGGAGAAGCTAGATCTTCCTTCCTAGCGTTTGTATCTTCTTTTCTCAGGAAAACGAACTCTTCAATGGGACTGATTAAAAAGAGTACTTGCAGTACTCTGGTTTACTAGCTTATGCTTCTAGTTTATGGCTCCTGAAGGTAGACTTTCCATTCTAAAATCTGTAAGACAGGTGAATCGCACACGAAGTGTTAATGTCAAAGGTGTGGAGGCCCCAAAGAAAAAAAATTCTGGTTCATTAGATTGCAGATTGGCTTCAGGGCAGAAAACAAAGACTAACCATAAATAGAATGTTTTTCTGAAAACAAGACTGCTTGGAATAAATATTTCTTATTGATGTATTTTTAAAAAGTGGAGACTTGCATTTTTAACTCCTTGCAATTGTAGTACCACTCTTACTATGTACCTTTCTGTCTTAATACAGGGGTTGGATCAACAAAGTTTAGACCCAAAGTAGCACTTAATGCTTGAAATTCAAAATTTTAGATGCTTACCTCTACAGCTGAAGTCCCTGTGCGCCTAAGGAGGTGCGCTAAGTGGTTGGTGCTTGGGCTTCCGCAGACAAACTGCCCTTTCTTCATACACAGTGATTGGTCTGGCAGACAAGGCCCAGGTTACCTCCATCGGTGGTTTTCCTGTTGACATTCATGTGGTTACGGTGTATATGTAGAAGGTTTCTTAGTCCTGTACAGAATAGGTCCTCCCTAGGAACAGGCCTGTTGGCCAGTTGTTTGAGGAGGACAACAACTGAGTTGTTTCCTCAACAGAGCCTTGAGCTGTGGAGTTACTGAAACTTATCACCACATGCAGCTCTGAGCAGTTTTGTACTTTGCTACGTGAAAGCATAAAGTCTCCTTGTTATTGCTTACTTCTTCATGCTCCAGGGAAGGTGGTCAGAGAGGCTAACAGGCTGATCGGGAACTACAGACAAATTAGATGTACAAGTGAGGCAGGTTTAGAAGCCGCGGAGAGGCAATGTGGTATATGTTTATGAGGAGCGAGCAGGGAGCAGAACATGTTAACGTTTGTTATCTGCAATGCACAGGACAGCTTTGCTGACATCAATTGGAAAGTACTTGTAATGTGTGCATAATTGGTATATGGAGGAAATTGGGCACTTAAATGCATGACTAAGCTGGGACTTTGAGACACAGATTGCCCATGTAACTTTAATGGATGGTAGTATCCTCTTCCTGCAGTGGCTTACAAAGCTGTTTTCAGAAAGTATGGAGCCACCCAGAAAGCCAGCTTTGGTTTCAGCAGTTGCAGACTGATGGCACATATACGTTTGGAAGACGAGATGGTGCCTTTCCTCCCTGCCC